ATATGAGGGAGGGGTAGAGGTAGGGAAGAGGTGAGGTGAGGGCAGGGAAGAGGTGAGAGAGGGGTAGGGAAGAGGTGAGGGAGGGGCAGGGAAGAGGTGAGAGAGGGAAGAGGTTAGGGAGGGGCAGGGAAGAGGTGAGGGAAGAGGTGAGGTGTAGGGAAGAGATGAGGGGGCAGGGGAAAGGTGAAAGAGGGGCAGGGAAAAGGGGAGGAATTATAGTGGAGATAATTTTAAGGGAGATCGTAGCTGAGGAGTGTGAGTGGATTGTTGTAATAATATTAAAAGGTCGGCTGATTTGATTTGATCTCTATCTCTGAGGGAAGTCTGGGCCGGGTTTATATTTTGATATGTCTCAATGATAACTGATTGACTGTGATATACCAAATAAAACTAGACTGATTCAATAACACTGACGATTACTATATCTTATCAAATTAAGGGGATTGTAAATAAGTTTTCTGGCCTTTTTATACGTATTGGGGACACCTTTGACTTCTATTTGGGAAATTCCAATTCTTCGCTCGATGCCTGTGGTTCCTACAATTCCAGAAAGAGTTAACCGGAAATGACATAGCTCTCAAAAGAGAATTCGTAACCTTTTATCAAATAAATGGTAAACGTTGAAAAATAGAATCATATTAGTAACAATATAATACAATTTAGTGTTTAGGTATCGTTATAATTATTGGTATACTTTGCCACATTGTAAAGTGAACTGAAGTAGCCTATAAAATAAATTATAATGGTGGCCAGCAAGGCACGGCATGCTTACCTTTTAGGAACAATTTATCGTTACTTGGTATGTTGAGTTCCATGATTATGGAAGAGTATGCGTGCCAAAAGTCACATTGTAAATTGAACTCAAGTATAATAGTTATAATAGTGGTTATCAAAGCATGGCATGTTTACCTTTTAGGAGCAATTTATCGTTACTTGGTATGTTGAGCTCCGTGATTATGGAAGAGTATGCGTGCCAAAAGTCACATTGTAAATTGAACTCAAGTATAATAATTATAATAGTGGTTATCAAGGCATGGCATGTTTACCATTTTGGAGCAATTTATCGTTATAAGGTGAGCAAGGTATACGTCCAGAACACTTGTCAGACTAGGTTCAGCTGAATTATGGAAGAGAATGCGTGCCAAAAGTCACATTGTATATTGAACTCTACCCTTTAGGAGTAATTGGAAGTTTCAACTTATTGGGCGTGTGATTTAAACATGAAAGTTAACCAGATTTCTATATATTCCTTTACTTTATATAGACTCCACACGTCTGGAAGAGTATAATGTGTCAATTCTAAGAAAATATTTTGCTTGACAATGGGAATTAAACCTAAGACGCCAAACAATATGTCTTTTGCATTACAATAGTTTCACTACTTTAGGAAAAACCTTTCAACATGATACTGAAGCTTATTTGATTATTGGGCTGGGGTAGTGAACTAAAAAGAACAGTTCCACCTTCTATAGATCTTTAGAATGGTCCAATACAACTGATTACTTTCAATAACCAAAGTTTACTGTTATTGTTTTGTGGGCGTTATATTTCAAATGGGTTTAGTACGTTTGTATTATTTATTTTCATTCTACCCTTCCATACAAATTAACACTCACTTGTGACACAGAAGCCCTTCCATACATTCCAGTGTTTGACAATATTACATACATCTCTGGTGAATTAGAAAAGAAATATTTATATAATAATCAAGACAAGTCTATTAAGAATACCATTACATAAAATTACAAGAATATAGGAGTGTTAAAAGATAAATGAAATTATCAGAAACGTCTATTTCTAACCAGCAAAATAATTTCTATATTTTCTACTGGAGCAAGTTAACCTTTCCTTATCTATTAACACTCTTAAAATTATATCAATGAAAAGATTACCTAAACTAACAAGTTGGTAGAGGTGTAAAGAATCAGATATGTGAAGAAATCAGCCATTTCTAGCCAAGAAGTCAAAATCATAGCATTTAAAGGTATACTGTACTTTAATTATTTGATATAAAAATCCGTACAAGCAAGGGGGTTCTGTTAATCCAAATCTTGTCCACAGAATGGCAAAATCTAGGTTGTGGACTCCTCTAAAGAGATGTACCATCAGGTGTTTTGATACGCGCTCGACACCCGCCATTTAGAGGGTTACTGTAATTTAATTATTAGATATAAAAACAAGACAATTCTGTTAATCAAAATCTCGTCCAAAGCATAGCAAAATCGAGAGTAAAAGTTGTATAGTAGTGGACTCCTCCAAAGAGAAGTACCATTAAGTGTTTCAAAAAGAATAAGCATGGTGTGCTACGTGCTTGACACCCACCACTACTATATAAGTCAACATCAGGAGATAAATCAGCTGATAGAACTTAATTCAAGCCTCCTGTAACACTTATCGGTATAGAAATCTGAAATTTTGTTCAACTGTAATTCAGTAAACAAGGGATCGATGTTATCACCAGCATTTAAAGCAATTGTAAAGAGGTTTTCTAAAATTTTTATGTGTATCAAGAACACTGATAGCACCAATTTTCACCATTCCATTTTTCAATCAGACGTCTGTGGTTCCTGCTTTTCCACCAAAACTAAGTGTTTTATCACTTATCGCGAAGGTCCTTATTATATATGATAAAGCATATTTTGCGATTAGTGACGTCATTAGACACTTAGTTTTAGTGGAATTGCAGGAACCACAGATGTCTGATTGAAAATTGGAATGATGCAAACTAGGAGTGTTACTGATAGTTATAAGTTAGTTCTATCAGCTGGTAAAGATAATATTTAGAAGACACTATACCATTAACCACTGAAGATGTAAATAAATAATTAATGATGAAGAAGGGAGATAATAATGCTCAATAAGAAACAAGATAATTTGTTGACACCTTCACCTCCATTATTTTATAAATAATTAAATAACATTTCCATCTCTTCTTCTCATAAACTCCTACATTCCTTGGGTTTAAAGCTGAATGCAGGGGGACAGAGGGGGGGGGGGGGAGTGGGTGAGAGAATGTGGGGCTGGCTATTGATTATTGTAAACTTTTCCTAAAATTTCTCGACTACCCGTGGTGGGATTTGGGAGTAAGACTTCACCAATGCCTTTAAAATCTTACCTTAAGGGAGGTCTAGACTATCTTTAGTGAGTTTTTAACAACCTTAAGGCAGTTTCAAACCACCAGACTACCCTGAGGAAGTTTGGAACTACCCTAAGGGTGTTTTGAACAATCCCTTGGGTCTTTTTGATTACTCTAAGGGAGTTTACGATTACCCCAGGGAGGTTTTGTTTTTCTTTAAGGGAGTTTTTGGATTACCCTAATGTAGTTTTTACTACTTCAAAAGATTTTTGAACTTTAGGCTACCAAAGGGAATTTTTGACTACCCTAAGGGAATTTTTGATTACTCTTTAGGAGTTTTAGATTACCCCTAGACAGGTTTTGACTACCAACGGTTAAAAAGAAGACCTTTAGAATAATACTACTTTGGAATATCTACTATTTTCTGAAGATAGTAGTCGTAAAATCGTAAAATAATGAATCAAAATGAGTTAATATTATAAAAAAAAGATCTTAGATTTATTCTCTTTGAATAAATTTGAATTGATTTGCATACATTTGAATAATTATATTTAAATGAATGGAATAATTAAGGTAATCAATGATTAAGGAATATGTTTCTGATTAAACAGGTGAGTAATTAAGACAGGTGATCAACTAATTAGCATAATACAAGTGAGAAGAAAAACATTTCTTTACATTCATATTTTTTATTGTTCAAGAAATGTTCAATTAAGATTATATATTATTTATAGAATTATTAAATCACCAAGCAGATGACAATACCATTCTCTAGTCCTGTTTCAGTCCATTTGGTGCAGTGTGCACGACCAATTAGCCCATAGTCTTTTTGGACCGTAGATAGTTTATGGGCCCATAAAACAAAACCCTTGAGCCAATATGACCAGCATTCTTGGGGAAGGGACCCTACACTATTTGTAGTGTTAAGGCCAGTGGTTTTGAAAGTCAATGAAATGTGGGCTCTCAACTCTAGTCATTATTAAATTTATTTATTGCACGAATTAAATTAAGAAATATTGAAAATCCAAATATTATGCACAAATTATTCAAAAATCAAATATAAAAGTAAATATCAAAAAATATTATTATATTCACTGTATCACTATAAAACTACTGAGGCATTAATGGAAGGAAACAATCAAAAATAAACAGAAGTTAATGTAGAGCAGGGTTTTTCAACCTGGGGGATATATTAAAATTTTTTGGGAGTAATTTTAAAATTTTTTGGGGGTAATTTTAAAATTTTTTGGGAGTAATGGGTGCTTTGTAGAATAGCATAAAAATTAAAAAAAATTATATTTCAAGTGGTTTGTTATTCAGTCAGGCTACATACTCTGTAGGAAACTTAAGAGAAAATCATGAAATAGTAATGATTAATACAATTGATTATGGACCCTGAAAGGGTTAATAGAAAGAAAAAGGTTGAAAACCCTGACGTAGCCCTTTGTTTTATTTTGTTTTCTCAAAAAAATTGAAATGAGATGGTAAAAAATCAGCCGGAACCTGATAGTATGGTTTTTGAGAAAAAGATACAAATTATTACTGAAACCAAAGTAATGCCCTGCCTACCTGAGTTTATATTTCTTGTTCTTCAAATACTACCTCTTATTAGGTTGACCAAAATAATTTTAACTGCCAACTTAATGCCTCAACCAATCCTTAACAGGATCAAGGGTAAGATTTCATCAGACGCTCATGTTAAAGGCTGGATATAGTATCCATGTGTTCTATTTGACATCCCTAAATCTAACAGTGAACTCTTCCACTCATGCATACTTGTTATCAATATGAAACTGTATATGTATGACTGGAAGAGTTCATCTGTAAAATTAGGGGTGTTTTTTTCCAAATTACATACAACCTTTCTTGCATAATTCCCTTTAAATCAAGAAAATCTTCTATGTGGTTTGAATCTGTTCGCAGTTCAGAGATTTGAGGTTCGACTTAACCAAGATTTAATAAGTTGATGTGCGATGGCTTGAGGAGGTGGGAAAAAGTACTTTTCAGGATGTTTATCAGTTGCCATGGCAGCAATATCTTGACGTGAGAACCATTTCGCGTCTTCTAATTCTTCTTTATCAACCTGGGAGACAGAAAAAATACAGGAAAGTTTGGAATATGATTAATTCTGGATGTAGATGAGATTTGAATCAGTTATTTATTGTAGATTTTATAGTTGATGATTGATATACTTTCTCATCAGATTTGACTGACATTTAGAAGTAGGGTATATATATCACATGACAATATTATAGAATAAACACACTTCTTTAATTATTATTCCATAATATTGTCTTCTGTTTGTGATATATACTTTCTCTTATGAAAAGTTCATTTGCTACCAATGTTTTGCCAAACTGTTATTTTGGATTTCAGGTTTCGTATTTCAGATTGTTAGTAGGCCTACTTTTTTTTTATTCTATTTATTTCTTGCGTTATCATACGATAATTTTCATAATGTTAAGCTATCACAGAATGTAGCGATTTGATTGGATTGTATTCCAGCAAATACAACCAATCAGAGCCCTTGACAGAAACACTGTTATCATTATCGCTTAGTGTTTACAGTCTTTTTGTCGAGGCTTCTGATTAGCTGTATTTGCTACAATCCAATCAAATCACTACATTTACAAAGAAGGCTATTGGAGTCAAGGTATAAGCTGAAGGTCATAACAGCTTGACATAGTGAAGATGGTTTAGGACATGCTACATTTCTTACTGTAATAATATCTGTTTTAGCGTAAGCTATACACCCCAACATGATGACCGCAGGGAACGGCCAGGGCTGACTGGAATGGTACTCTATTTGTCCTACTTTTATACCACTTTCTTCTTCGACCTCCCTTCTACAGCATGCTTCTATACTCTCACCTAGATAGACAGATTGTTTGAAAAGATGAAAGAATGACTGAATAAATGAATGAAATAAGCAACTATATGTTACAAGGATAACAACTCAGGTTCACAATGGATCCTTTCTACCAGCTGGTCCTTGGCCAAATCTCTTGGCATTGATCTTTCCCAGATTTACGTAACCATGCAAACGACGTCATGTTAAAAATTGATAATTTAACCGCCTGTGCTACAGAATCTCATATAATGAACGAATGAATGTAGACCTACAACACAGAGTCCTTATTCTCCAAAACTTAACATAAATAAATCCAGGTTTTAAGAATCACAGTAATTTGATTGGATAATAAAACTAAATTTAAAATCAATGTTAGTGATTGACCAATCAGAAGACCAGAATACTAAAATCAATTCAAGTAAAGTTTTCAAGAATAAGTCTCCAGATACAGTAGCCAGTATTAAATATAAAAGACCATCTATTGTTTTCAAATCTTTATAAACAGGTCCTGTTTTGAAAATATTCTCACCTGGTTCCATATAACCTGCAAGACAGGAGTACATCTTTGGAGGGAAACTTTTCTTCCGTCCTAGCAAACATTTCTTACCAGAAGGGGAGACAATCAACATTATCATTGAGGGGTCAACTCGAGGGTGGTTGGTATTATGAACACCTGAAATAACAAGAGTAGAAAACTTTTCAGAAAATTCTTTCATCAAAACTTTAAGGTTGAAATATATTTTTTGTAGATTAGACTTTTTCAAAGCAAACTTTGTATCTTGATATTCTCTCACTAGTGAGACCATTGGTTTGAAACAAAAAATGGGCACTATACATTCAAATAAAATCTAAGTATTCTTACCATTGTGTGACCTACAACTCTTATCACAACATTCTCGTTTATACCCTGCCTCAGCCAGCACTGTCGAGGATCCACAGGTTGGACAAAATTTATACCGATCATGCCACGCTAAAATAGAACGTGCTTCAGCAAATATTCCAGCGTCCGTGTCTTTTAACTGCATGGTGGAGCGATAACTATCAACAAAACATCCCTCGGTATATTTCTCTTTAAAAAAAGATTCATCTAGTTGAGAAACATCCGCAGCAAACCACGCTGCAGAATGGGGATCCCAGGTTTCTAACCCTAAAAACACAACTAATGGTTTCGATGCTAAGTAATCAGCCAACTGTACGTATTTAAACACTCCTAACGACTTTTTACGCGAGTTTGGCTCCTCGCTAGGCACTATAAACACATTCAAATCTCTAAAAACAATAATATTCGTGGTTTCTAATTTTAGCGTACTGTCCAGCCAATCAGAGTCTTTGCGTTTATCGGCTGCTCGGTATAAAGGATTTCTTGAATAAAAATTATACAGTTGACTGTCCTCTGGTAGTCTTGATTTACCAGTTAGAAAATCAACCACGTCTTGATGGTTCCAGAATTTAGCAATGTCCAGTGCAGTTTGTCCGGAGGAGTTTAGAATATTCACATCACACCTAGAATAATATATTATCAGATAAATAAAAGGGATTGTAAAGAGGTTTTCAGTATTAGGGACACTGATAGCATCAATTTGCACCATTCCATTTTTTAGTCAGACGTCTATGGTTCCTGCAATCCCACTAAGAGTAAGTGTTTGATGTTGTCACTAATTGCAAAATATGCCTTATCACAGAAGTCTTTGCTATAAGTGATGTCAAACAATTAGTTTTGTTGAAAACTGAAATGGTGCAAATTGTTGCTTTCAGTGTCCCTTGTATACAAATGTCAAAACTTCCCTGTAACGCTGGGTTAGAACACTGCTTTTTGTAGCATAGAGATTTGGATTGTCGTCTCGTCTGCTTATGTGTGAGGTTGCTCCACTGCCAGCGCTTCCAGGAGTTATCCATTTTTAGCCCTCAGCCTCAATCACCTAATACCTATCATGAAAGAGAGAGTAGAGATGTTCTTAGTATGTAGGAAACGTAAAGAGTCCCTTATACATACCCTTCCTCAACCAATGTTTTTACAACTGAAACATGGCCATTTCTAGCCGCCAACATTAATGATGTCCACCCTCGATCATTCTTCCAGTTCACATTGTTCGTCATTCCTGAAAAATTAAGATAAAAAAATTAAATAAACAAAATAAAAATGTGTACAAGAAAGAAAATTCTGTTAATCAAAAAATGGCAAATTCGGAAGTTAAAGTTGTATAGTAGTGGACTCATCCAAATAAACCTTTTCTCAAGCTATGATCTTATCTTATATTTAAAATATTTCAATAATGACGTCGCCATCTTATCAATTGATGACATAATTTGCATAAATGTCTCAAAAACGAGGTGAATAAAGTCTATACCCATTTGATCTTATTCCATCTAATCACAGGTACATGTTCGTGTAAAAGTTCATGCCCCTTTTTTCAGACCTAACTTACCTTTCAACCTTAACAAAGCATTGACTTCATCGATATTCCCTGCAGCAGCATATTCTGATAATCTCGACTCCATTTGACTGACCACACTGATAGGTTCATTGGCAAGGGAAGTAACTCTGACTCCATCATTGGGCTGACTGGAACCTTCTATTTTCAACGTTAATTTTACATCCTCGCCATTCTCGCTGATATTTTCAGCTGATTCTTTCGTTCCGTCTGATGAGGACATTCTGATTGCTAGACTGAAAGATAAACAAAGGTTTAAAAACAAATTGAATAACAGGTGTCACATTAAACAGATCCTGCTCACTCTTTTCTAATCACCTGATGGTACTACTCATTTGATGAGTCCACTACTATACAACTTTTATTTCTGATTTTGTGCTAAGGGTCAAAGGGGCACAGGCTTCTATGTTGAGTACAGGGGTAGAATTTACAATTTTAAGATGCTTTGTTATTTCCTATATATAAATATATTTTCATCCTTCAAAACGAATTTTTAGTGGTTTTATTTGAAAAAAGAAAAAAATACCACTGGCCAGAAAAAAATAATGTATTCTAGGAGTCCTCTTATAAAAGTATGAACAAGCCCTGAACCTCTCACCAGCCTATTACTACAGACAGTCCAAATAAAACACACACAAAAATAGCTCAAGGAAGTCACAAACTTTAGCTGCAATCTACACTACTCAATAAATGCTTATTACTTTATACAATCAGTAAAACAACAATCTCTTAATAAACCATTTGTTCTTGTTTGCCATACAAAGCAATAACTATAAGCCTAAAGCTGTTGTCCCATAGATAAACTATTATGCACGTAGCCTATATTATTGTCACTTTGAGAGATCGAGGGGTTAAATTCTTATCTTGTGTACAGGACTCTTTATATTATGTCTAATATTTGTCTTACCATCAGCAGGTCAATTTGAGGGCAAATAGATAAAACATGACATTGCTCAATTCAATGACAACTGAATAAAAATTTGACAACATCATCCAATCAATGAATCATGCATCCAAATCAAATCTAAATAAAGAAATAACCAAAATGTTTTGTCAAGATCTAGTCTAGATTTCACAGGAATATAAAATAGCAGTCGAAATATTGGAATCAAAGGACCAGTACACCTGTTCTTTTCTATGTCCAAGATATCATGTCTTTAGGAATATGGAGCAATGATTGAATGAAGGATGAAGGCAAAACAAAATGTCAAATTTTTGACAGACAGAAACGCCCCTCCCCTTTTTTTTTTCAACTAAACCTCAACTGAACTCAGTGCCCACACACTTGCATTATCCACTTACCTTCTCTTGGACGCCGAGCAGCCACCTCTCAATAGAAATCTCACAAGCATAAATTATCGATCAGGTATTGCAATATCATTTCCATTGACTCCAAATCGTTATCGCGAAAGTTTGTAAACAATGAAAGAGTTACTTGCCCTTGATGATGATTAACGTGAGTTTTCTCCCTTTTTGCTGAGTTGCCAGATTAGTGACAATGATATTCTGGGTCTGATTGCGTCTGATTACTTTATTGCAATGAGCCGATATGGAACTATTCATTAAATAATAACGAATCGGAAAAGGTCGGAACTTTGAACTTCGAATCAGCAGGACAGAAGGTTTGCAGCCCTCTTCACAATGTCAAGCTATTACGAACTTCGTCTTATGATACCTTGACTGCAATAGCCACAGATCATTCAAGGGCAATTTTGCTTGCAATGAGCTCTATTTGATACATATTGAGTCGGAACTAAATTATTTACTACAAACATCTCTGTATCGCAGGGCTAATGGTACGGCGGTTAAGTTTTCGTATCGTTCATACTGGCAACACTGTACGTGGAGTAAAAGTCTGAAGCCGAAGTAAACAATCAACCGTAGACTTTACAATGGGTATAATATCTCTTTGTTTCTGGGCTTTAACTACCTTCAATTTCATTGGGAGTTGTAAAAGAAATGTTCAATATACGTTTGCATTTTATTTGACACGCATGAAGTCTAAATTTCAAGAGTTTTTTCACAGAGAAATCCAGTCATGTTGGCGTTGATCTTCACTGACTTCAGCCGGCATCTTACTACACTATGAATTTTCTAAAATCTCCACTCTCTGAGTTTGATTTTTCTCTAAACTGGTAGAAATTGAATAAATTTATTAAAAATTGAACTAGATGTTGTGCATTTTGAGCTAGATTAGCGATAAACGAAGGGAAATGTTTATGTGACGTGGACGTTTTTCATTGACTTATGTATCACGAGTTATGTCCCTTTAGTTGAATGGGGTTACTGAATGAATAAAATAGAATATAACTTAATGAAATATATCACCATTCTTATCATATAAGATGCCTTGAAATTCATTTCACAATTAAGCCATTAAATTATAATTTTGTCTAGGACACTACGTACTGGTGCTTTAGAAATTTGTGCATCGCCATGGTTTTTCCTAATTCTACACTGAGATGCATTGCCTATCTTCATTAGTGCAATCTAAAAGATAAATGTATGACATAAAAGTATATTTACTAAGCTATGTTTTGTTAATTGCGCTTTTAAATTCATCCATAGTTAGTTTCCTCTTGAAGAACAAAACCAGGCTGTTCTTACAAAAAAAAGTCATTTCTTTCTTTTCTTCAGTTATATATTTTTTTTTCCAGCTGTCTCTAGTACGATGTCGTTGGCCCTATCAGGGACTTTGAGTGTAGTTTTATTTGCCGGTATGCAGATGTTCAGACAACAGCTATCATCCGTGGAATATTTAACAATATTTGGTGGATTGTTGGGATCTTTTCTTTTTATATTATTATTAACTGTATCCTTTCAAAAACAATATTAATCCAAACCAAATATTTTTTTATATACTGTCTTGTTGAAGAGACATGGCCATCTAAATATTTTCTTTACCAGCTTTCTTTACGAGTCCAGAATGAAATTTTTATGCCCAGTTTATCTACAAATGAAAAAATAAATTGCTTTAATAGCTGAAAGTAACGAGCTTAAAGCATTTCTCGGTCAATGACACATACTTTCAGTGGCATTGCAGTAACCACAGATGTCTGATTGAAAATTGGAGTGGTGAAAATTGATGCTATCAGTATCCCCGATAAACATACAATATGTAGAAAAAACCTCTTTAGAATCTCTTTAATTATAAAAAACTTACTGAATTGTACAGTAAATTTTCTGTCTTATATAATTTAAACATCCTTAACTAAATATTTAGGCAGTGGGAAATTTTGAACAAGTTACTTTTGGTAAAGGTTTTCAAGCACAAATTTTTCCTGAAGGTAATGAGGTCATCGTGTTTTTTAATCCTTTTACAATTAGTATTAATTAGTCCCTGAAACTGCGACAGCTCAATAATTTAGACACTTGTCACCAAATTGGATCTGACAAAAATTGACAAGGTCTAGTATGCTTCAGGCATGAAGTTCATGAAAAATTCCATGACAGAAATTGAAAAAGCCATATGACACACTCTATATCATTGCCAGTCTTCATTAGCCCATTAATGAGTAGAAAAAGTGAGATATAAAAACCTTTTAAATTTAAGCATTGGTCGATAATGCATCTTTTTTATCATTGTTGCATTTGATTTATGCTTATCCTGTAAATATTGCCTTATTGCACACTGTATGGCATTGCCCTTATTAGTCCAAACAGGTGCAAAAAAGTGTCACGAAAAACTCTATTTCATTTCTTGTGAATCCCTGTAGAAGATCTGTACTTTATGAAACAACAGTTGAAAGTATATCTGTTTGTCTTTTTCAGTAATATTATGTTTATTAGTCGCTTTATTTGCGTCTGGTTTGGTTCACAGAGTTTGTATCACAACTTGGTACGTATCTTAGTGTTCTTTTCTTTTCATGTTTCCGATTCATTTTTCTTAGAGGTTCGGTAGCACTGTCTACGATAGAGGTGGAAACTTTATATGTCAATCACTTGTTAACGTCAAGCAAATGATGGTAGCAGGTTCTAATCTCAATCGGCATGTGAAAGTCTGGTCACCTTGAAGATATTTTCAACATCATTCCAGTCGACTCGGCTGTAGATGGGTATGGATAATCCTGGAAAAATCAATGCCAAAAGCTTTGGCTAAGGACTAAGGACCAGCTAGTAGAAAGGATCCTCTTAACCCTAATAAGTTATCCTTGTAAAATATTGTTTTTTCTTTTTTATTTATTCAAAGTTATTACCCTTGAAAAAATTATTTTCTATAATATTTTTGTTTATTTCAGTTTGATATTTTCACTGGTGGCGCTGTATTTTATAAATAGAATTTCACAAAGTAAATATGGAACTCAGACAGTAGCTCCAGTACAAGTCAGCAAGAAGAAAAAATAAACGCAGCGAAATTATAATATTTTTATCATCCTTATTATTTCATAGAAAAATAAAATATTTCAAATCAAAGTGATTGTGTTGGATTGAAGAAATTATTTCAGGAAAGGGGTTTGGAGGGAGAGGGTAAATCATGCAACCAAGGGAAAGGTTCAGAGGGGAAGGGGGGTTGAAACGTCACCTTGTGGATACCTGAACTGTCACAGAACCGGACTGGAGGTTAAATGGAGACTTGCCTCAATTTTTGAATCGGATTGGAAGAATGAAAACTATCTATATTGTTGTGCTGGGTGAATTAAGTGAAATATTGCATGGACAGAAGCATTCAGGTGTCAGGAAATAGTAGAATGCTACTAACATTCGACTACTAGCACATCATCTGCTGGCGATTTTTTGTGTGCATCTGGTCAATCATGGTCGGTACGAAGTACTCTCCTAAAGAAACGCTGGCCAAGGTCATAATTAGAGACTATGGATTTTATTATGGACATAAATCAGTTTTAAAGCCAGTGTATTGTACTACTATCAAACATGGGGTTGTGTGCAAGTCATGAATGGGCTACGGGCAAGGTTGGGGCATAAACAAAAAAGAAGTCCCTTACAATTAATAATTAGGGGGCTTGGTTCAAACAAGAATGTTATTTATCCTTCTTTTCTACATTTCAATGTTGAATTGAACGGGGGAATAAACGACCAAAAAATCTGTAAAAACATCTAAATCTTATTTTTATTTACATACATACAATAATATTGTGGACTGATATATACACATAATAATACATAGTAATACATAATAAATAGTAATACATAATGATAATGTACATTATGATACATTGTAAGACATAATGACAATAGGAGGTGATGTGATACATTGATTTCAACCAGCTGAACATTGCCCAAAATTGTTTACAAAAGAGCGATTATATTTGTCACATGTCAAAAATGACCTCATTCTGAGATGCATTTTTTCCACGGTCAAGAATGAAAGAAAAAGAAATGTGTCTAGGGAGACAGCACCAAATGAGCTATGTTGCATCTCAACTCTCAAATTGAAGAGATTTTGAAATAAGATGGTATTTTAAGTGAAATACTTGTAGTCATCCACTGTAGAATTGCCATGACAATGGTAGATGATTTAAACTACCGGTAACTTGATATTTTCGAAAATTTCATGCTAATTTTAACGCTTTGAGATCTTTCCTACCACAATTTTGAAGATTTTGTTCAAAACAGTTTAATATTATTCATCTTCACATAGTCAAAGTTTTACTCTACTTCAATACCTTGACTCAGGGAAGATGCTGACTGGTTGAGTCAAGGGCACATCACTCTTTCTTACCATGAAAATATACACTGATTATGACAACATAAGTCAATGACAAAATAAAAAATTGTGATTTTTGAATGAATGAAAGAAAGTTAAATCATCTTCACGAGGCCAAAGATTCACTTATAAAGGGACATGAAAATACTTTGACCCTTGGATTGTTGAAGATGATGGAGTTTAGAGTAGATATGGCAGTATTGTATTGTCTGGTTAAAAATTGTCCAGTCAATGTCAAGGAATTCTTAACTGTTATGATCTGGATCAAGCTACTAGCGTTCTGATTGGTCCTGGATCAAGCTACTAGAGTTCTGATTGGTCCTGGATCAAGCTACTAGCGTTCTGATTGGTCCTGGATCAAGCTACTAGCATTCTGATTGGTCCTGGATCAAGCTACTAGCATTCTGATTGGTCCTGGATCAAGCTACTAATGTTCTGATTGGTCCTGGATCAAGCTACTAGCGTTCTGATTAGTCCTGGATCAAGCTACTAGCGTTCTGATTGGTCCTGGATCAAGCTACTAATGTTCTGATTGGTCCTGGATCAAGCTACTAATGTTCTGATTGGTCCTGGATCAAGCTACTAGCGTTCTGATTGGTCCTGGATCAAGCTACTAATGTTCTGATTGGTCCTGGATCCAGTTACTAGAGATCTGATTGGTCCAGCATTCAACAAGTCTCTTGCTTAAACTACTGGGATTAATTCTCCCCAACGACAGGTGCCCTATCATTTAAGTATACATAAGGCATATTTCTTAACAATTTGATTCCTTAAAAAATCAAAGCACTGTAGCAAGAAGCCTAGTCAACAATTGATAGTAAAACTAAATGATAAAAACTATTTTAAAGAGAAGAGATTGTAAAGAGGTTTCTAAGATATTTATGTTTATCAGGACATAAGTTTGCATCATTCCAATTTTTAATCAGACGTCAGTGATTGCTGCAATTACATTAAAAGTAAGTGTTTTATGACGTCACTAATCGCAAATGGCCTTAGAGATAAAGCCATTGGCGATTAGTGACGTCATAAAACACTAACTTTTGATGGAATTGCAACAACCACAGATGTATGACTAAAAATTGGATTAGTGCAAATTGACTCTATCAGTGTCCCTGATATACATAATATTTTACTTAATATTTACTCTTAACAATCTCTTTAACATCACAATATGACATGTATGAGGTGATGTGGTTGATGATGATGATGATGATGATGATGATGAAAAGGTGAGATGATGATTTTGATGAAGAATGATCATTAGAAATGATGATGAATGAATGATGAACAACTGAAATGATGATGATTATGATAAAGAATGAATGAAGGATGAAGAACAATTTAATGAAACGATGAAGAATGATGAACAACTAAATTATGATTATAATAATGATGATGATGATGAATACAGCACAATATACCTGATAATGATGACAAATTAGATTATGATGAAAATTAATAATGATTATGACAATGTTTAAGGTGAAGGACAAATGAAGAAGAAGAAATGAGAAAGCATGCATGGAAAGGCAGGATTAGAGAAAAATAATCATGATTGATTTGTGCAATTTGAAAATCTTAATTTTTAAATTCACTAAACCAAGTATTGACAATACAACCATTAGAGATCACAAATTAGTACTGATACCTTGAATGTAACTACCGTGATACAAGAAAGGTGGCTATAGCAGTCAAGGTATAAGTATGCAGTTTGTAATAGCTTGACATTATGAATATATAAACCAAGAGCTTATACTATAACATAGAATTTAAAAAAAAAAAACGAGAAGGGTAAACATTCTTAGACTTGATTCTAGAAAATTCAACAATGATAAACTTCAGTTATCAAGAAATACAATAATCTGATTGGGCGAACAAACCTAAATTTAAATTTCATATGACTTGAATCCTACAAATATCTAAATACCTAAATATAAAAATTCCCTATAAATTATTTCCACCTTCCGTACAATATGGTAAGAAAATTCTGATGCCAGAGTTTTTCAGAGTCTGTCTGGTGTTTGCTTTCATCACCGAACACTCTTAGAATATACATTGTAGAACTAATAACCTGACCTATCAAATTGTTTCTTGTTGAACGATGATCAAATACCAGATCCAGAATAAATGAGTATCAAACGATATCACAAATTAAAACACAAAGATTGTAAACTTCTTAAAATATAAAATATATACGAAAAAAATATCCTAAAATACCTTATTTAGTTTAATAATATTTCCCCTGGGATAACTTAATGATTGTATTTTTGAGCAAAGTTATTAATGCATATCCAGGTCTGATTCAAAATATAAACACAAGCAGCCATTTTATAATAAAGGGATTGTAAAGAGGTTTTCTAAATTTTGTATCAGTGACAATGATAGCATTGGAATTAAGAATTTAAGGTTGTAACATTGCAGTTAAGCAATGATACGAAAGCACAGGCATGTAGGCGTAACCTCTAGTGATAGAGTATTGTTTGTGAAGTTAGTGTGAATAATTCTGTATAGAATATTTGGAATGAAAATCTATAATCTTGAGAATCTGAAATATATAAGAAGAATACTGGTTCTTACAGGAACATTAATAACCATGGAAACTATAATAAACATTTTTTACTGGTAGGGCCATTCCAATTTTCAATGAGACATTGTTTGTTCTAGCAGTTTTCAGAAAACCTCTTTATAATCCCTTTAAGATAGTTTAAGCGGCAATTAACACAGTGTAAGTTTAGTCTGTATTATTTTTATTACTGTTCATTCTACCTTGAAATTCTATCGTGGACTGTTCGTATTTATGTTTCGATTCGTACCAAGGTTAATACCTTTGCTCAAAAGTATATTTTTATTTTGTTTTGAATCTTCCCAGAATAAGCACAACCATCTATATCTGACTAATGTGGTTCTAAAATATCACTAAATTCATAAATCAAGATTCTTACAGAACTAGGTAAAATCTGAAAAAATAAAATTAAAAAATACACAGAACAAAAGTGACAAAATCAGTATATCTATATAAAAAGCCATTCCGATTTCTTCATTTTTCAAAATGGTTTTATATCATTAAAAAATCTTTAACCTGAAGACCAAGAAAAATCAAGCTTTTTCTGTTGATTATGTCTAATAACCATGGGAAAAATCAATACAAAGTTGCAAAAACATATTAAAAAAACCAAATAGACAAAATTTTGCCTCCAATTATTGAAATGAATAGCTTAATTACAAAAAACCTTAAACATGATTGGTCAAATAAAATCTTAATCTAACTGCTACTATTACCAGGGTTGTTGATGAAGATGTATTTGCCAGTCATGTCTGAATAATGTGGAATAATCATACATTTTACTACCTTTACAAAGTCACAAGGACTGGTCAAAAACATTTCATATGATCAAGAAAACTATCCATTAGTGTGATGATTTTAAAAAAGGTTCAATGAGTAATTTCAAAAATAATTAAAAATATTTTCAAGGAGACAGTCTGGCAAATATATCTTGATCAACATCCATTAATTGAACTTTTATACAATGTAACGGTAGTAATTTTAACTCACAATATCTTCAAACATCAAAGCACTATTTCAGCATCTTATAACAGTTTTTAAACTTTATAACAAATAATACATCATTAAAACTTAAACAAATTTCTCTAGAATTTTAAGATACACTTAAAAGGAAGACAAAAAATTACCGTATATTTCCAAATGAATGCAGATTACAGACCACAACCAAATTTCACAAACCATTTTATGATTGAATTTGGTCCAAAATGGGATAATTAAAGGTGCCCTCACACTATAGTGATTACTAGTTGTGTATAGTTGCGAATAATGAAAGTGGTCATGAGTTCAGAACACACTCACAACATAAGAGTTGCGTTTGAAACTTATGGCTGCTAGTCATAATCGTAACCATACACAACTGGTGGTAGTTATGGTGTGAACACCACTTAATCATTCATTCAGACGTTTATCTTCAGATCATTTGTGATGCAGAGCCCTGATTTCAACATATTATGTATAACAAAAATAACCTTAAATACCAAACCCATTTTATAACTTTAACTTAATGAGATGGAGAGAAATTTCAAAGTTTATTTATTTCTATGTTGTTATCTTGTGTGAGTAAGTATGAATAAATGAGACTGATTTAAAGAATGAAAGAGAAATCACTGCAATACATAACAGTATATAGTACTACTTGAGCAAATCATTTAAGACGTTTAATGAAATAGAGTCTACAGTGGACCATATATAAATGGAATTCCCAAGTTTCGTATTAAAAAGGTTTCTTGAAAAGTGGGCTGTCATTTATAGATTTAAACATGATTTTGCATTTCAATTGAAAAAGTACAAAATTGGAAAACAAAATCTCTTGATAAAAGATGAAAGAAAATTAAAAATTTGTAGGAATATACAGTCATATACGGGCCACTGTAAGAAAGGGCTAATTCCACAACAAAAAAATGATTTGGCCGAAATCTTTGGACCCAAGGACATGCCTGTGATACAGCTCAAAACTTGAATAAAGAAATTTAATTGAAAATATTGTTCCTACAGCATCACAAAGTTTATTTCAATGAATCTTCTTCCATGAATAGTAGACATAACAAGTTGTCATTTGATCTTGTTTACGTTTTTAAATTTATCTAAAATTTTGATTTTATGGATTGTGTGTGCTGATAAAGTTATTTTTTTGATATATACATAAACTTACTTTATAAAAAGCTTTCTTTTCCTTCAGAAAAATTGGCTAATATAAATATCAAAACTTAAATCATTTTCCTTGAGAAAAATAATTGAACAAATGAATTAAAATGAAATGGAGTTTTACATCCTACTCTTCTGAACCTAATTGAGCTAATGAAGATGGACAGCACCATGCAGTGTGCAATGAGGGAAATTTTTCCAGGAAAGAAGCAAAAACTAACTGAAATCAAAACTCATGGTCCTGTGATGAAAAAACTAAACGTTGAGGGAATTAGCCCACAAAATGATAAAAATGAAGAAACACGAGATTCATGTAAAGGTAAGATGTAAAGATGTGGTTTACGAAAGAAATGCTATGATTGGTTAAAATCAAGATTGAATATTATGTGGCAGTCATCTACTTGTCATCCCTCAACTTTATATTGAACTCTTCCACACATACATTCTTTCTATCAATATGATACAGTGTATGTATTATTGGAAGAGCTCATTAATAAAATTAGGGGTGTTTTTGTTGTTGACTGACAAATTATATCCTGCCTTGTAATATAATATTGTGCATTGTGGGTTTAAATGGTGGTTGAATGTTGATGAGTTTTGAAGCAAATGACTCTTTGAGATCCTGTATACACATTTTTTATACAAAAACACATTTTCACGCATATCTCCAACATATATATATATTTTAGCACTAACATTGCACACGGACTATAAATAACTCAGAGTCAATATTATATATATATTGATATACATATATATATTTGGCTTAGACACGAAAACTGCTGCAGTGGTTACGCCCAGTTACTTTTCCGTTATGCTCATATAAATACCAAAAGCAATTTCATACCCAAAATGGTTTCATTACACATGCAACTTGGTGCTTCCTTTAGTTGATCTTTCAATTTTTACTTACATAAAAAATGTTCCATTCCAAAACTTTATAAAATTTCTCACATTTGACAATGAATCATTTTTAACATTTCACAATGGTTCCTTTTAGATTTAAGCCTTAAATTCAGACGTTCGACAAGCTGGTTATTTGTGCTAGGAATTAATGTTGTTACTGTAAAGAGGTTCACCAATTTTAAATTTTTTTCTTTATCAATCATCAAAATGTATTCCATAAAAAATCTTCATCTTTTCACCTGTACTCATATTTATGACGTTTTATAAAAAATATTGGCCCAGATCTTATATTCATTGACCATAGAAGGAAGAATGGCTGTCATGCACTTCCACATTTTTCTCAAGAATTTATTTTTTATTCTTCAAGTTGAATCTTTAATTTGAACTTTTGTATTACTGATTAGAATCATAAATATTTTCCCTCAACACAACTCTCACTATAAAAATCTTAATTCAATTCCATTTCTTAATTTTAACTTTAATTCTCTCAATACAAATACTTTGTGATCTCAAATAGATAACTTGTTCAACTATTAAACACTTCCAATTCCATAAACGTAATCCTGATCATAACAGATTGAGCGCTATCAATACGAAAATGGCTGATGTTTTTGACCACTGCAGCCTGACAATAAGAACCGGAAATCAGATTTGTGCTAGCATGTAGTAGTCCGTGGCAACCGTAAATGTATATGACCGTTTGCTAAACCGTTTCTCTGCGTGTACGAACCATCACTACTTTTACTACTCTCCTTGCTTCCGTCACTATTTCCTAACGCACTATTCGGACTCGAGCAATTACTAGCGCGATGCGTTTTCACGTCTCCGAGTTCTTCTAACATGACACATTCACACGGCCCCGAGGTACTGGGGCGAATCGTTCGTGACGGCGAGGAATTGGCTTCCTGTTTATCACAATCCTCAATGAACGGTATGGTCGATTCGTCCTGAAGGTTGAAATAGTTGGGATGTTCTATATCCCCTTGATACGTGTCAATGTCAATATCTTCTAGGTCATCCTCCATCACGTCGTTAAATTCCGGTCCGTCTGGCGGTTTGTTTTCATCACTGAAGAAATACGAAACGTCTTTAAAACTGGGATGTAAGTCAGGAACTAACATTTCTATTATCTCTTTAAATGTTGGTCGGTTTTTATCTTTATATTGCCAACATTTTAACATTAAATCATACCTGAAAATAGAGATTTCAATCTAAAATACTAGAAAAGCTAGAAATGGTGGTTGTGGGTTCTAATGATGGTCGGCGTGTGAAAGTTTTGTGACCTGGAATAAGTCATTTTTCAAAATTATTCCAGTCAAACTAGCTGTAAATGGGTGTTGATGATCTAAGAAAATCATTACCAAGAGGTTTGACCAATAACCAGCTGGTAAAAAGGATCCTCGTGAACCTAAATTGTTAGCCTTGTAAGAAATTGTTCTTTGTTTCTTTGTTTGTGAAACCAAATGGACATCTACTATGAAAGTATTGTAATTGTATTAACTTGTTAAATACAAAAAAAAATATCATGAAAGTGATAAATAACTAAAAATTAGTCTTACAGCCTATCTGGACATCCTTCTGGTTTCTCCATGAATTTACCCTCGGACACATAGCGAAGGACTTCTTCATTAGATAGACCTTGGTAGGGCTGGGCGGCGAGCGTAGCCATTTCCCACAATACAACACCATAAGACCTGAAATCAATACCGTCATATTACAAATAAAAAATGTCCTGATATCTTATAGAAAGGATCATCAAGAATTTAAAATCAATGTAAAAAACACTGCCAAGTTTGACAAAATATAAGTTGGAAGAAAGGATCTTCAAGAACCTAAGTTGTTATCCTTGTACAATTATTACCCAGGTTTGGCCAAAATACCTGCTCTACAAAAAATTAGTTGATATGCTTATAAGTCCATACAAAATAAATAGTCTATTTTAAAGGCCTTTTTCTTCAAAAATCGGGGCGAGAGGGCGAATTTATTATTTATTATTTATAAGCGCTTTTTTAGATTTTCAACTGGAATAATCGGAGCGAGTGAAAGCATCTATTATTTATTACCACAAATTTAATGTACATTTAATATCAAGGCAACAATTAGGCATTTTTGGACCTGTAAAATTATGAGTGTTTATTTCTATTTTTAGACACTTTAAGACGCTTTTTGAAATGCCATCTCATTTATGATTGATAATACTTTCCCATGTGAAAAGTTCATTAGCTTTTACTAATGTTAGACAAAATGTTATTATCAGTTCCTATCGATAGTACTTGTTTTTTCGTATTTTTTTAATGAATACCTACCACACATCAGACATGGTTGTAAAAATACCGTCTTTTAATGATTCCGGAGCCATCCATCTGACGGGGAGTAATCCTTTACCACCTTTTCTATAATAATCAGTCATATAAATATCTCGCGTCATTCCAAAATCTGAAAAAAAATACAAATTATAATTTGACCTAAAATCTTGATTCACTCTCTGTATTTGGTCTCAAAATAAATCTTACGATCTTATTTTTCAATGTAATATTTCAAACTTACGACGAATTCTTATCTTAAATTTTTGAGAAATGGCGCTCTGATATCATCGAATCTGTTCTAAACTTTATTTCTATGTGTTCGCCAGCTTGTTTTGATATACATAAGCTAACAAGGGCAATAACTCAGCATTAACACAACCGTATAAAAATTGCACCAACCTCCTATTTTGACTGTATTTTCCTCTGCCACCATACAATTTCTAGCTGCCAGATCACGATGAACAAATTTTTTATCAGCTAGGTACGCCATACCATCTGCTATCTCACCAGCCATTTGTAAAATTTCTTTTAATGTTGGGGGTGGGGCACCATTATTATCCTGAGAATTGAAAACATACCCATGGAAATTTTGTGGGGTGGGAAAATACGTGTCTTGAAAAATTTTGAATTTTTATATTAGTCTTTTAAAAACAATATCATTTCACTATTCATTTCTAAGGCTACATGTAAACCTAGCACCTCTTCCAGTCTTTAAACTAAGACAAAATAAAAGGCCTAAGTCCAACAAACAAAAAGATAAAATGAAAAAAAATCCTACCTCTACATCTGGCCGATGTGATCGAAGATAATTTTTTAAATCGCCATTTTTCATCAGTTCCATTATGACATAGGCTGGTTGACCTTGAGACACAACGCCCAATAATTTTACAACGTGGAAGCAGGAAAACGCCCTGAAATATTCAGAATATATTTGAGTTTTTAGAGAAATAAGGTAACAAAACTACATTTTATTATAATAAAAATATAAGTTATACTGACCAATACAGTGATGGGCCAGTGGGGATAGAGAAAATAGTTTGAACCCCAGATTGCACTCCCACTTAATCTTTAAGGATTTTTATCATTATTTTCATATACTTTTGACCAAAAATATTTGTCAGATGAAGACAAATTAATTTGCTTTTTATAAAACTTTCCTGGTGAAAGAACCTTCAGAGCCTCAATGGTTGGCTTGATTTTATGATGTCGACATTTGGAATTCCCAAACCACCAGTAGTCTCCCCATTATGTCAATCTTCTCCCTATGTGTACCCCAGTTTCAGAACGATGCTGCCACTGGCTCCATTCCAACTTGAAATAAACACCATACTTACTTCATTATACAGGCTTCTTTTAAGAAATTCATTTTATCTTGAACACCTGCTTGATCGTTTACAGTCTGAAATTATAAATAAGATTTATTAGAAATAAACAATATTTTATTATCTTAAAACTGGAGGGCTTATTGTAGCCTGTGTCACCTGAAATATAAGACACAGTCCAAACAGAGACAAAGGTCACAATAAAAATGTCCATTAGAAAAAGTTCAATTTTTTATCAACACAAGTCCTGCTTCACTGGTTTACAAAAAGTGGACTTATAAACTCGAATTTGATAAAGATGTCAGATAGACCTAGTGAATTCTGGGTGAAGTCTGTATATATGACCTACACATATTCATTATCATAGTATAGATTGTAATATCAGCGCCATGGGTTCAACTCACCTTCACAGCAATATTCATTGGTCCTTTATATGGTGGTAGATCAGTAGCTATACCTTCATACACCATACCAAATGATCCTTCTCCAATTTCTCGAATTAATTCTATCTTATCTCTATCGACTTCCCAATCATCAGGGATATATACTGTAATATATAATAACGAAATGAAGTTTTATATCCCACTGTTCTGTATCTTATTGGACTAATGAAATGAAAGAAGTGTTATATCCTTCTGTTCTGTATCTTATTGGACTGATGAAATGAAATATAGTTTTATATCCTTCTGTTCTGTATCTTATTGGACTAATGAAATGAAATTTTATATCCTTCTGTTCTGTAACTTATTGGACTAATGAAATGAAATAGAGTTTTATATCCTACTGTTCTGTATCTTATTGGCCTAATGAAATGAAATATAGTTTTATATCCTACTGTTCTGTATATTATTGGACTAATGAAATGAAATGTAGTTTTATATCCTTCTGTTCTGTAACTTATTGGACTAATGAAATGAAATGAAGTTTTATATCCTTCTGTTCTGTAACTTATTGGACTAATGAAATGAAAGAAGTGTTATATCCTTCTGTTCTGTAACTTATTGGACTAATGAAATGAAATAGTTTTATATCCTACTGTTCTGCACATTATTGGACTAATGAAATGGAATAGAGTTTTATATCCTACTGTTCTGTATCTTATTGTACTAATGAAATGAAATGAAGTTTTATGTCCTACTATTCTGTATCTTATTGGACTAATGAAATGAAATGGAGTTTTATATCCTACTGTTCTGTATCTTATTGGACTAATGAAATGAAATAGAGTTTTATATCCTACTGTTCTGTATCTTATTGGACTAATGAAATGAAGTTTTATGTCCTACTGTTCTGTATCTTATTGGACTAATGAAATGAAGTTTTATGTCCTACTGTTCTGTATCTTATTGGACTAATGAAATGAAATGAAGTTTTATGTCCTACTGTTCTGTATCTTATTGGGCTAATGAAATGAAATAGAGTTTTATATTTTACTGTTCTGTACCTTATTGGACTAATGAAATGAAATGAAGTTTTATGTCCTACTGTTCTGTATCTTATTGGGCTGATGAAATGAAATAGAGTTTTATATCCTACTGTTCTGTATCTTATTGGACTAATGAAATGAAATGAAGTTTTATATCACTGTTCTGTATCTTATTGAACTAATGAAATGAAATGAAGTTTTATGTCCTACTGTTCTGTATCTTATTGGACTAATGAAATGAAATGAAGTTTTATATCTCACTGTTCTTTACCTGATTGATCTGATCAATGAATACTGATGACAGAAAATGCATGAAGTGTGCAACGAGGGAAATTTTCTCAGAACAGCAGCCCCACCTCTGCTACTTTGTAATTTATGGCAAAGTCTGGTGTCAACAGAAAGTTAGGCTCTTTCTGTCCATACTTAAACATCTTCACATCTGTGAAGAATTCACCAAAGTAGGTGTTGTGAGATCGAAACCATCAACTGGTCATCTTCGAATATATTAAAGCTCTCAATTTTAAACTTAATGTGAAGAATTCACCAAAGCAAAAGTCGTAAGACTGAAGACATCAAGAGATATTTTTATTTGAGGTGAGACAGTATTTAGTTTCAACTTACCATCACCAGCAGGGAAATAATTAGGATTATGGGATACTATCAAATTATTCGCCAGTTCCGACTCCTTGGCAAACCTGAAAAATAAAATATAAGAATAAAAACCATGAAATTTTGTATACATCTTATGATAACGAAATGAATTTTTGTTTCCTACTTTTTGTCAACCTTGTAAGATATTGAAGGCAGCCTACAACCAAACTGACTATAAATTGATACTGTAGGTTAGTCAGTCTGATCGCACACACCCTTTTGCTTACCGTATGCATTATGGGATAGGAAGAGAGCCACTATGTTAATCAAGGCTGGTTTCCCACTTTTCGTATGTGGAATAAGATCCATCATATCGTATGTTGACTATGTACAATGTTTGTCAAGCCTGTATGTATAAAACTGTTGTTCATTTATTTATATAGATATAAAACAAGATGACGTTTTGCCTCGAGAACTCTACAAAACCTACCTATTTTTGGCAACGAACCATACCACTATTATAGTAATGACAAGAACGAGTATAACACCAATCACTATGGCAATAATCACTTTCTTTTCTATACCATTATCATCTAAAATACAAAATATTCTTTATTGTAACAGCTTATATTTAAAGGGATTGTAAAGAGGTTCTCTATAAAATATTTTTTGTGTATTTAGGACATTAATAGCATCAATTTGCACGATTTTCATTCCGACGTCTGTGACTCCTGCAATTCCTCAAAATATAAGTGTTTCACTAATCGCAAAATATGCTTTATCACATAAGACTCTATCAGATAAGTGATGTCATCAAACACTTAGTTTAAGTGGAATTGCAGGAACCACATACATCTGATTGAAAATCATTCTATATACAGAACCGATGATCGTTGTGGTAGTAAACAAGACCTTTCTTTATTCCTTTCTGTCATTTTGAATTCTGTCTATATCTTATCTACTTTTTTTTGGGGACAGGTGGAACCCATTCTGAAGTGTAAGAATTAGAAATATGAACAACTTACTTCCAGTATCCTCAATAAAGAAATATTTGACTGGTGTCCACTCGCCAGGGCCTGCTAGAGATGTGGCTCGGATTTTAAAGGAATAGTTTCCAGGTTGTAGTTTCTCCAGTTTGTATCCTTTAATTGAACGATACTTGGTATAGTTTATACACGGTGCTCGATACTCCTACAAAATAAAATATATATCATTAGTATTACTCTACAATCATTAGGAATATATTTTATCACAGAAACAAGTGCCGGATTAATAAGAAAATAGCTTGTCAGGCAAGGTTATATATGCCCACTGGCAGCTTTATTTTGAAATAAGAAGATTTGGCAGTACAGTAACAATAACTCATAAAATAGTTTCTACTGAACAATTTCACCAAGTATTGTCAAAATATGTCAAGAATTGTGCCTTCTAGAGTATTCATGAGCGAAAAATTGAATGTGCTTTGAAAAACAAGGGCAATAACTCAATTCAAATATTTTTCAATGATGTTCAATAGGGTTCATCATCAATAGACAATTTCACAAAATTTTATCTGAATCCATCAAGAGGAAAATTTGCCCAGGACTGTGGTGGGATCTCTAATGTGTGCAGTCTGTTGACTAAGGAGCTTTATATATCTATTACAAGAGTTTTTTTACAATGGTCAGCCATTGTCACCCTCAACCACTCAAAATAAATTGGTTCCACCCCTACATTTTCTTCCCCTGCGATCACCTATCTCAAACTCTGACAAAAAATAAAGCTTTAAACATATCCAAATAGAAACTAATTTACTTACATCGTTATTATGAGTCTTCTGATAGTCAATTTCAAACTTAATAACCAGGCCGTTTGGTTTACGTGGCTCCTCCCACTTTATCATGACTTCCGTTTTATTGGGTTTGACAGTTATCGTAGATGCATTTATCGTATCTGCCGTTTCTGAAAATTAAAATAGATTCATAGATAAATAGTGATAACTAGGTGGATGTATAGAAACTCAGAAACTTAGTGATATTTTACTAAAGCTGGTGATTGGACTATATTTGTAGTGGTATCTGATCAATGTTATAAATTATATACTTCACAAATAGACTGAGGTTTGTCCTTGAAAATTATTGTTTTTATGATGAAACTTGGTAGAAAACATACAAAAAAGATGAAGAAGAATTATGGGAAAAATTGTAATTGAAATAGTGATTGTGTTCTGATTGGTCGATTTGTCTGATGATCTGTTGATTGGTTTAAAAAGAAACACTATCGTGTAAAATGAAGCTACTTTTCTTTTCATTTCCCTTCAGTTTGACTTTGATTTACTATGATATGAAACAAGATAGATGTTATTAAAGACATTGTAAAGAGGTTTTTTAATTTTTTTATGTGTATCAAGGACACTGATAACATCAATTTTCACCATTCTAATTTTCAATCAGATGTCTGTGGTTCCTGCAATTCCACTAAAACTAAGTGTTTGATGACGTCACAAATCCTAAAGGTTCTTATGTGATAAAGCATACTCCTCTTCACCCAACTAGTTCAATGACAACGGGCAATGCCATGCAGTGTGCATTAGGGAAATTTTGCCAGGACAGAGGCATTAGTCTTCTCTCTTTCGATTTCCAACTATCAAGGAATCTTTATCTATGCTGCTCACTGGGTTTATTGTCCCATCTAATTGTCAGCCCCTCCAACCTGTATCACTGACAGGGGGAAACTGTAGTAAATGATAAAAAGTTTTATACTTACTGGAAGCGAGGGTTCTAGCGTTAGCTATGGCGCTGTTACCTTGACTATGACTATGACTACACATTTCTTTACCATATTTATCTTTATCACTCAAACACGCCACCACCTTCAAATATAAACACACAAACATTTTACTTTCAATTCTATAACTCAATAAGGGCACTTTACACGTGAGTCCTACACATTCGCCATTTTAAAATTAATCAGAAGTTCAATAAACTATTGGGATCAGGGCCAACTTCATAAAGTTAATTTAACTCAGTATAAGGTTTTATAAGAGATAATCTCTTATAGTAGCACTGGCCTAGCTCACTCAGTGTTAAAGTGATACTACGTCTTAGAATTAACGTAAAATTTAAGAATTTTAAACTTGGTGAATAAGAGCCAGTAGATATACCTGATGTCATAAATAACATAACAGGATCCTTATATAATCCGATAAATCCAAAAAACTTAATTATTATCCATAAATATGCAATTAACTATTCAAGATTAATCGTTTTTCAATAATTACTTAGTTTTATGAATTTTCCAATTTTCCAGATTTTTCAGGGATTAGGTTGTAACTTTATGACATTTGGTAAGCTAACTGATGAATTCAAGTGAGTCAAGTGAGTTAATGCTGTATGCAATGAGGGAAAATAAGGAAGTAAACTATACCTCTACAGTGTAAGGCTGTGAATGACCTAGGTTAGGAAGATGTATCTCCTGACTGTGAACTATGGAAGTATTTTCCTGATTTTCTTCTGTTTCGTTATTAAAGTCGGATGAGTTTTTCCCGTCCACTTTTCCCTTCAATCTTTTTACATCCACATCTTCATTATCTGTATTTCCAGACAAATATTTCTGTTTCCCTGATTTTATATCATTCGGTGACGGAACTTCACGTTTTCTACGATATCCCATATCATTTTCAGATCTAAAATTATGAAATTATTACAAGTATTAAGATTTGAAGCATTGCTAGATTGCAATCACATGGGTTACACCTACATCCCCTAGTCCAAGTCCAATAGCCTAAAACATCAGGTAGTAATATGAAATCCCTAGTCCAAGTCCAATAGCCTAGAACATCAGGGAGTAATATGAAATCCCTAGTCCAAGTCCAATAGCCTAAAACATCAGGGAGTAATATGAAATCCCTAGTCCAAGTCCAATAGCCTAGAACATCAGGGAGTAATATGAAATCCCTAGTCCAAGTCCAATAGCCTAAAACATCAGGGAGTAATATGAAATCCCTAGTCCAAGTACAATAGCCTAGAACATCAGGGAGTAATATGAAATCCCTAGTCCAAGTCCAATAGCCTAGAACATCAGGGAGTAATATGAAATGATTTCAATAGGTCTCCCAGCTTTGATGTATTTTTGCATCCAAATGTAACCCTAACCTCTTAATTTTTGCAATTGATATTGGACCTTGACTTTTTACTTTCTTCATTGCTTAATTGCAACATTTCTTACAGAAAGGATTCTGTGTGTTTGACCAGCCATCAAAATTGAAATAAGAAAATCCCTTGTTGTAAAATCCTTAACATAATTTATGTGCCAATCCCATTTTTTTTCCGACAGACTAGGTGTAATCACAAATGATAGTTACCTTTTAACATAAACTTCATCATGAAGAGCATTTTCAAATGCAATTTCATTCAAACGGATACGATTTTCCTCTTCCTCTTCTTGAGGAGTTTTCGGACAGCGACAACATTGACCACCAGAGGGCAGAGTTAGGTTCTTTTTAGCTTCCTCCTTCTTTTTGTCTTTTTCTTTTTTGTCACGATTCAGATCCAGAGCTGAAATTAGTAATAAATAAGAAATGAGAGATATCAAATCTTTAAAACTAAGTTCCAAGCTGTATTAACATACAATCCAATCAAATCACTGCATTTACAAACCTCTGTGATACAAGAAAGGTGACTACTGCATTCAAGGAATAAGACACAGTTCAGAATAGCTTGACCATTGTTAAGATACTGAGTTTGTTAATCTGTTATCCCTTCAAGAGAGTCCACAATATTTTTTTCGGGGGTGTGGGGAGGGATATTTTTATTAGACTTACGTTCTTTGCAGTAATCTCGTTTATCAAATTCTTCACGTTTTAGAACTTGTCGTCTCCACTTGACGATATAATATGTGATGTTACCATTGGGTAGTTTTGGTGGATCCCACGTGACCTTCAATTCACCTTCAACTTCAGCAGTGATTTCTAAATTAGTTGGTGCACTCGGATCTATAAATAAATAGGGCAATTAATAAGAGAAAAACTTTAAAGCAATATTTTTTTGAATATTTCAAATTATACTGGGATTTTGACACACACCCTGATATCAACCAAATTCTCTTTTGTAAAAATTCATGCAGTTTTCGAATTTTGTCTCAGAAACATCCATTGATGTTAAGAGGCCAGTGGCATACAGAAGGATCAGAATTCAAATTTCTTATCATTTTACATAAAGACAGAATTCCTTGTAAGTTTCCCCTGATACTTCCCTACTCAAAGATTCATATAAAAGATACTCTCCCTTCCTTACCCCCCTACTCAGCCCTTTCAAAGATTCAAAGAAAAGGTACTGCCCCTATCCTAACCCCCAATCAGCCAGCCCCTAAAATATACTCACAGTAAGGTTTAGTTCTGAAGTATGTAAGATTGGATATAGCGGAACTGCTAGCTCGACCAATGGTGTAAGTTTGGATGTAAGCAGCGTATAAAGTCCAGGGTCTGAGAGAGCTGATAATTTCCTCAGGGTTACTGTTCTTATCTGGCTCTACTTCTTTTGTTTTCCATCTGAAATTAAAATAATAATTATACCATGAAATGAAATGCATTCTCATAGGAGGGGGGCATTTGCCAACTTAAATAATGGTTTGCACCCCCATACAGCACCCTAACTTTTTTGTTAAAATTTAAAAATATGATTTTTATGCGTTTTTGACCCAAATTATGTGTCAGAATGCACCAAATCAATTCAAGTTTTCAAAAATTTTCTGGGGAGTACCCTCAAAAACGCTCTATGAGAGTCTTGCAACTATGATTCCCTCAACAGAGTTGCCACTGCTCAATTCAGCCTTGACAGTATATTCCCTGATTGTACTCCCAGTCTCCGGAGGCTGGTGTTGCCACTGACTTGACAGCATCACAATGTAAAATACACAGCTCATAGACCTCAAGATTGAGCAGATAAAAACCTGAATGGATTTCTTCAAAAGTCTACTTACACAGATTCTGAACAGGCATCTCGTCCTTGGAAAATATTGATATTCTTAGATTGACTGAAATAAAGAAGAAATATAACATTTGAAATTAATGAAATTGTATTCTGGATTTACATTGTGAACATACGAACCCAATGCAGTGAGCAATGAAGAACTTTTTCAGTGTTATCGCTCTTAAATTTGTTTTATTTCCAAAAACAGCATAATAAAAGTAGGATAGGTGGCAAGAATGTTAAAAAACTAAATGATACTCACACTTCACGATAATGTACGACGTAACTTAATAATGGTCTGATATCATGAGTTTTAAACTGATCCCATTTTAATATCACTGAATGATGATTAACAGCTTGTACACTAAGATTCAGAGTGTTCACTTCACCTAGAAATAAATATTACGTTTATGAAATTGATATGAAGGGGCATTTATCTCCAAAACTTAACTAAGATAAAATCGAGATTTTAAGAAATACATTTATCAGAGCCTATTCTCCAAAACTTAACTTAGATAAAACCAAGATTGTAAAAAATACAGTTATCTGATTGGATAATAAAACTGAATTTAAAATCAATTTTAGTGATTGACCAATCAGATGACTTGAACACTAAAATCATCAGTTAAACATTGATTGTATCTATTTGAACAATTCCAATTTTCACAGACATCTATGGTTCTCGGAATCCACTAAAACTACAAGTTTTATGATGTCACTATGCAAACCGATTCTATCAGTGTCCTCAATATACATCAAAAGTTAAAAAAAACCTTTACAATCCCTTTAAATAAACATGTAATTTTCTTCATTACTTACAAGGAATAGAATCTCCGTTCGTACTCTTGACATCATCCAATGCATCGGTAGTATTGGCTAATCCCACAGCGTTTAGAAAATTCTCAATCTTATAAAAACACAGTTTTCTATTAAAATTAAACTTTGACTTTCCATTCAGAATTCGGAGATTTTTGGTGACTTCAGGAGAGAATAATTCTTGTAGGTTTGGATTGTCAAAAATATTCAAACTGTAGCTATAAATAGAAATAGAAAGTAAAATGTATAGTTTGAGGTATATTTGAAGAGAGTGTGCAATTTCTAATTCTTCTGCAGACCAGGTTTGTAGCCAGACTTGTTTGTTTGGAAGGGCAAGTAATATATCCAGAGGGGCAAGTAATATATCCAGAGGGGCAAGTAATATATCCGGAAAGGTAAGTAATATATCCGGAAAGGTAAGTAATATATCCGAGTGTAAGTAATATATCTGGAGGGGCAATGGTTTATGGCATTTAGTTCCAGTAATGAAATTGGTCAGTTGTCAGGGAGGAGGAGAGGGGTGTAATCCAGCCCAGGTCATCAAGTTACGTGCCTGCTGCAGACCCTTTACTATTTATCATGACCCAAATCAACATGCACGAATGTGGAAATTACGGAGTATTCTAAACATACAAACAAAAGAAATTATATTAATAATAATAACTTACTATGTCTGGTCGAGTTTTTCTCCTTTAATAAGTTTTAATTTTTTAAAGAAATGAAGGGAGATAATTGGGTAGCTTCGTGTAATTTTGATATAATGTGAGATCTCCTCGATTTCTCCCAAACTTTTCTCCAGTTCTACCACAATATTACCTGAAATAGTCAAATCAGAATACAGAAAAATATGTTATTTTGGAATTGGGATTCGTTTGGCATTGATCGTTAGTAGTTAAGTAGTCATAAAAAGTACTACTATCAACGTATTGCGAACATTTTTAACATTTTTAACCCTTATCTCTGTAGAATCATTGTAAAAGGGGTTTGGTCAAGGAACAGCGGGTATATATAAGATCCGTTAAATTATTTGTTGATATAGTTTGTAATTTTCATGAAAATTAAAATATCAGTAAATAAAATAAAACAATGACTTACTTCCACCATCTATTTCAATCTCTAATGGACCTGTTATTGATGTACATCCTGTTAGAGTCTGAGCTGCATCTATACTGTCAATTACACGCCCAAAACATACTGAAATAAACACAACACAGTCAATAACAACGCAAAACATACTGAAATAAACACGACACAGTCAATATCAACACAAAACATACTGAAATAAACACGACACAGTCAATATCAACACAAAACATACTGAAATAAACACGACACAGTCAATATCAACACAAAACATACTGAAGTAAACAGAACACAGTCAATAACAACACAAAACATACTATCATACAATAATAGAGAAAAAAATAAATAAAATCGAGTTTATCTTTCTACTTTTCTGCACCTGATTAGGAACACAGGGGCCTTATTCTCAAAAACTTAAATACGATCAAACCCAGATTTGAAGAAATACAGTAATCTGATTGGATAATAAAACAAAATTTAACATCAATTTTAGTGATTAACCAATCAGATGATTGCAACACTGAAATCATTTATAGTCAAGTTTTCCTGAATTAAGTCCCAGACATGGCCAGGACAGCAACATAAGTCTGCTCTTTTTCAATTTTTAACTGTCCAGTGATCTTTAATGTGCACAGCTTGAAATTGTCCTATCGGAACAACTTGACACTTTTAAAATGTCAGCTCCTTCGATATATGGTACATTACTGACAGGGGAAAACTGGGTTGAAAAATCTGAAGGTATTATCTCGACCTATGTTGGGATTGAACCCTGGATCTTCAGGTTAGAGAGCAAGCGTCTAATTTATGGAGCCACTGAGCCCCCAGTAAAAGAAAGAATTTTGGGTTATAAAATCATTGCAAAGTGGATTATAGAACATTCATAGAAACCACTTGTACTTACCTTTCGGGCAATGAGCAGAACATTTCGTACATTCTCGGATATTGGGAGTTGTAACGTTTTTAGTATATCCATTTGGACATTCCTTGATACACTTCCCTTCCATTCCGGAGTCTCCTCGAATAATCTTCCACTCTTCTCCTTTCTGGTGATTCTCCATATTCATACATTCCTTATCTAGCAGGCATCTTCTGTCCATGTACTAAAAATACAAAACATTTTATCTCTTGTAAAAATAAGCATTAATGTATATATAGTTTGCCCATCACTTCTTCTCATTATGTGTCTCAGGACGACAAGAGAAACACGTCAAAACGTTGCATATAACTTTAACCAGTAATAATTCATTACACTAAGTAAATGTTCAAATGTTTTTCAATAATTATTTAGTTTAATGGATATATCGTGTTTTATAGAGATTCTATTACAGAGATGCTATCTAGTCAACTGATGAATATATACTGTTATTGACCAAGTTTGAGACTTTATATTCTATATCTATTCTAAGAGGTAGTATTCAATTAAAAAGAAATAAAAGGGAGACAACCCACCTTGTATGTTTCAGGATTACACCTTGGTTCACAGATCCCCTGGTAAATAACAGCTTTACAGGCTAGACAGTCTTCCTTCCTCGGTCCCCGACATCCTCCCATACAGTAATTATGACAACATTCTCCTGTCTCATCATTACAAAATATACCTTTACCACATTTCTTCTCACAATCTATAATTATAAATAAAACAACAAATACAATGATTGATTGAATGAAAAAAATGAATGACTGTTTGATTGAATGAATGCATGAATGATGAGATGAATTTTTTAATTATTGCATGACTGAATGTATGAATGAATGAATGAATGAATGTTTGAATGAATGAGCGAATATTTGAATGAATGAATGATTGTTCAAATGAATGATCGAAAGAATGAATGAATAAATGAATGAAGGAATGCATGACTGATTGATTGATTGAATGATGACATGAATTGTTGAATTAATGCATGATTGAATATATGAATGAATGAATGATGACATGAATTTTTGAATGAATGCCTGATTGAATGTAAGAGTGTATGATCAAATGAATGAATGAATGATTGAATGCTTGAATGAATGTTTGAATGAATGATCGAATATTTGAATGGATGAATGATTGAATGTTTGAATGTTTGAATGAACGTTTGAATGAATGATCAAAAGAATGATGGAATAAATGACTGAATGATTGATGCATGAATGATTGAATGAATGACTGAATGAAGGACTGAATGACTGAATGAAGGACTGAATAACTGATTGATTGCATAAATGGATAAATGGATGAATGAATGAATGAATGAATTTTTGAATGAATGCCTGATTGAATGTAAGAATGGATGATCAAATGAATGAATGAATGAATGATTGAATGCTTGAATGAATGAATGAATGATCAAATGAATGAATGACTGAATGATCAAATGAATGAATGAATGAATGATTGAATGCTTGAATGAATGTTTGAATGAATGACCGAATATTTGAATGGATGAATGATGGAATAAATGACTGAATGATTGATGCATGAATTGATAAATAAATTAATGAATGAAGGAATGAAAGTTAACGTTCTCTGTTTCTAGATATTATTGAACTAAATAAATACACAGGTACATAAAATCACATATTGTGAAATATTTGAAACAGGAGAATTTTTGTAAAGTTAACTATATCATTTGTGTACTTTTAGTCAAATAGTTAACACTACCTGAACTCATGAAAGTAATGAAGTACTGATAACTATACTACTTACCTAAGCCTTTTTGACAATCTTTGGAGCTCCAGCATCTTTTGGCTTCTTTGCCTTTCACCTTAGATCGAGAACATTGGTCTGGGCAGATATTAACACATTCCTGTTCATCTTTGTTCTCAGAAAACACGTTATCCTTCCAGTTATCTGATGCTGCCAGTTTCTCCCAATCGATCGTATCCACATAGCAGAGTTTAGAATTCTTCTCCAGACGGACAGCTCCACGTTTTATGGCAGTTAAACTGACCAATCCTAGCTCTTCTAGATCCTGCATCTGATAGGCTGCGATAGCGTAATTGTGAAACAACTCTTGACCACGTATCACTGCCAAATTAGGAAATATGTGTCGTAATGTTCTCAGACCATCAACGCGATATAACAAGATATGACCAGTTATTTCCACTAATTTTGGAAACGATAATTTTGCGAAATCGGCTTCCATCACTCTCTCTATTAAAACAATATGCAGAAATCCTTCAATAATCGTACAGTTTTCTAAAATCTTAAATTTGCTGACATCATTTCGAATACTTTTACTCGTACAGGCTGAAACGATACAAAAAATAGAGAAATCAAGTTTTTGTTAAGACCTTATCTTATTTCATAATTAAAAGTATGTAAAATTTTGATCTCTTTCTGTCAATTAACAATCAAGACTCACAAGCAGCCAATAACCATAATAACATACACCCACCCACTTTTTATATGAGACATATTGGATTTATGTTCATATATATAAGCTTGCACATACCAAATTTTACCCATGCAACTCTAGTGGCAGATTTACCAGTCACATATTTACACGATAAATACCAGCGCGACAGGTATAATAGTCGTTTCTAGGTGACATCACATAACGTTAACGTCATACGCCTTAACGTCATACGCCTTAACGTCATACGCCTTAACGTCATACACTTCAAGTTATATAACTTGGAGTTCAGGTTATATGATGTTTTATTTCATTTATACTCAGTGTTCAAAGGGTTAAAATCTGTAGATTCTAGAGTGTTCAAAGATGAACAAATAGAGTGATGAAGTACAAAACGGGCAATTGCAACTTGCCAAAAAATTTTGAATGTGTCATTCACATTTCAGATAAAGCTGCCCATTCTCCCTTGAAAATCGGTAGAGCGGTAGACAGCATGCAAAAGTGGTAGAAGCCGACAACATCTGTAGAATTACACATGTATGAATCAAATCAATTAAAAAATATTTTTATGTATTGGTAAATTTTTTTGTAACCTCTCACAATCACAGTCCGTTCCTTTTGATCTCAGAATTAAAAAAACAGATTTAACGATTTTTATTCAGATGAAAAACAATAATGTAAATAATTGCATTTCAAAATGTAACAGGTGTTGTATAAGAAATAAATTGGGGAGAACTTTAGAATTTTATAAAGAATAAATTAAAAAAAAAAACACATCAAAATATTACCAGGTTAATAACCGTACTCAAAAACTTAATTTGTTATCATTATGAGGATAACAACTTAGATTTACAAAAGATACTTTCAGCATTGTTATCCTTGTAGACTAGGGATTTTATAATTAGACACAGCTTTATGGAACAACAATCACTGGTTAAAGTTTTATGCAACGTTTTACGTGTTTCCCCCGTCGTCCTCAGGCATATGAGGACGACAGGCGAAACACGTCGAAACGTTGCATAAAACTTTGACCAGTGATTGTTGTTCCAT